CATTTCAAGTACTTTTGCCTCCAAAAATCTCCCTTTTCCATTGCTAGGAAAAATAACTCTCTGGTCATTAATTTCTAAGCCAGAAACTTCTTCTATAGTTCATACTTTTAGTACCTTTAAATCTTTTTTAATCTAGGTAAAAAGTCTATTCCTTTTCTGAGTGAATTTTACATCAGAAACTCTATGAATTTACCTTTTAGTATTTAATACATATTACCTTTATTTTTCTAAATATTCATTAATTATTTAAATAGTGAACAAAGATATTAGAATAGCTAAGAGAGAACTGGACGTGTTCCACATTGATAGCTATTACATCAGATCACTCAAAAAGAACATTCAGGTAAACTTCTTTGATAGATGCAATCTGACTCAATCTGGCAGTACTCTGATGGTAGTAATACTATACACCCCCTCATAAACTCAAAGTAGAGAAGGCTAACAACAACTTCTGTCAAATAAGTGGATCTTAAAGTAATAAACTTTGACAGTTCATCTTAGATAACAAAAATCTAGGGCATTAAATATTTTCTAACCCCTTTTACAAAACCTAGGAAAAAGCTGATCTTCATGTAGTCAAAACCCCTGCAGAACCTAAAAGTAAGATCTAATTCTGCTAAATGCCTATTTGCCAAGAACAAAGCACCATTTTAACTGTTTACTGTCTTAGTTCCTAGCTTCCAACAAAAGAGAAATATTCTGGATGAGGTTCAAAGTTACATATCCCTTTTGAATGTCTGTCTAACAGATACCAGGCAACTTCAAAGTATTTTTCTATACTACTTGAGGATATAGGGGACAAGGTGGGCTGACAGTATTGTGGCCTGACATTTTTTCCACTTAGACTCTAACTCAATGTTATTTTTGTCAAAGGCCCAGCTAAACAGATATTTGGCCTCACTTTCCCTTTAAATATTTTCCCTTGTACAGTAAAATATGATGCCACAGCTAATACAATCTTTACTAGTCTCTCAGTTGAAAAATCTCACAAATATCTAATAACTGCATTTGTCTCATTCCTATTAAGTCTTCCACTTTTCAGATGGATTGAAATTGGAAGTTGACAGCTCTTTCAAAAGAACAAGGACCACTGTATTAGATCTCAGCCAAGGGAAAATAGGCATTTAAACATTTACAATACATGCATTCAAAATCTATTGAATCACATAACCGGAAAGTAAAAATGGACATATTTTCCTACAACACTGATGTCATTTGGAATATATTTTCTGATGAATGAAATCTACTTGTTTAGGGAACCAAATAATCAGACTGCTTTTTGACCATTCTTTTCATAATTTAAAGTTGCTTAACAATAATCCTATTTATTTATTTATTTATTTATTTTTTCAGACAGAGTCTTACTCTGTCACCCGCAGTAGAGTGCCACAGTGTCATAGCTCACAGCAACCTCAAACTCTTGGGCTCAAGCAATTCTCTTGCTTCAGCTGCCCTACACAGCTGGGACTATAAGTGGCCGCCAAAACACCCAGGTATTTTTAGAGGTGGGGTCTTGCTCTTGATTAGGCTGGTCTTGAACCTATCAGCTAAGGCAATCCACCCATCTGGGCCTCCCAAAGTGCTAGGATTACAGGCGTGAGCCATCACGCTTGGACCCACTAATCTTATTTAAAATAAAAAATTTAAAAAAGCCCCAGTGATAAAGTCCTTTTATTTTTCTTGGTTTATCCTTCCAGCAAATTTAGATAAAAGAAAAGTAGACACTATAGCCTCAGAGGTGCTTATTATGTATATCATCTTTTAATTATAAATTGATATATGGATGCATATGTATTCATACTTGTACATTCAAATAATATAAATATAGTAAAACCTTCATAAATTGACCACCCAAGGGATTATAACAAACTGGACAACATATGGAAGTGGTCAACATAAAGAAACAGGCCTAGGGTACTGATACTTACATGTGGTACATGTCATGTCTATGAAAATTAGGTCAATTTAGAACCATAGTAGAACTATGAGGGTTCTGCTATATATGTGGTCTGTTTTGCTTTATTTTTTTTGCCTCTACGCAAACAGTAATAACATATCTAGACCTCAATGTAACTCTTTTATTTTACTTTTATAATTATCATATTTTTTACATATGTATTAATTTGGGGGGATATTTAAATGGTTCTCTCAAATTTTCATTAACAGTACAAAATGGGCTTTGGCCATTGTTAGTGAAAGTGGTAGCAGAATGAATAAGGATAGAGCCTGACTGGTCATATTCAGGATCGTTTATAGGGCAATTCAATCACCCAGAGACTATTCACTTGCTTCTTCAATCAAGTGAATGCCAGCATTCTCTACTGTACTCTTCCAATTATTTACTCCATTCTAAGTATAGATTCTAGATAGGATTCTAGTGACATTTCCCAATTAAGTTAATAATACCCTTCATATCATCACACTAAGTTTGCCCAAGCAATGGAAAAACAATGAGTACAGACACTCCTCAGAGATACTGTGGTTTAGTTCCAGAACACCATGATACAGTGAATATCACAATAAAGTAAGCCATGTAATATTTTTGGTTTCTCAGTACATATAAAAGTTTTTTACACTATCTTGTAGTATACTAGGTGTGTATTACAATATACCTAATGTACATACATGTGTCTTAATTAAATTATACGTTATTGCTAAAAAGTGCTGATAATCATCAAAGCCTTCAGTGATTACTTCACAATCATTTTGCTGTTGAAGGGTCTTGCCTCAATGCTGACAGCTGCTAACTGATATGGGTCAAAACCTCTACAGAACCCAAAAAAAATTTTAATTATGCTAAAAAAAAGTTGCTAAAGTTTGAAGGGTCTGTGGCAATTTCTTAAAATAAAATAATAATATTGTTTCGCTACTTGAGTCTTCCTTTCAGGAAAGATTTCTCAGCAGTGTGCAATGCTGTTTGACAGCATTAGACTCACAGTAGAACTTATTTCAAAACCAGAGTCAATCCCCTCACACCCTGCAGCTGCTTTATCACCTATGTAATATTCTGAAGCCTTTGGTGTAAGTTTAGCAACGTTCACATCATCACTAGGAGTACATTTCATCCCAAGAAAACACTTTGCTCCTCCATAACCAGTAACTCCTCATGTGCTCAAGTTTTATGAGATTATAACAATTCACTCACATCTTCAGCCTCTACATGTGATTCAAGTTCTCCTGATACTTCCACACATCTGCAGTTACTTTCTCCACTGAAGCCTTGAAGCGCTCCAAGTCATCCATGAGGAGTTCTTCCCGTCTCCTTTTAATATTGATATTTGGACTTCCTCTCATGAACCATGAATGCTCTTAATGGCATCCTTAAGGGCAATCCTTTTCAAAAGGTTTCAATTATTTTGCACAGACCAATCAGAGAAAACACCCTACAAATACATACAACTATTATGTACTATAAAAATTAAAAAGAAAAAACAAGGACAATAGATTCCAACCCGGGTGCCCATACTGCCACAACTGTACTGCCATTAAGAGAAGCTGAATTTTAGACAATGTGCTTTAGTGACAGACCTAATATGCTAAATTTATAAACTGACATACTCCAATGCAAGTATGAAGCAATATTTTGGGAAATGTATGACTAAAGATCAGAAATCAGATGAGAGCAGTGAACATGAACTTGGAGTTGTCGCATCCAAAGGGGAGCTAGACTATAAAAGCTAACATCACATCCCTGCCAAGGGCCACCTCTGTGCTGCCAACTACATTGTGCATTCATTTTTAATCCTTAGAACAACTTAAGAAGTACAATCATTAGCCTCACTTCCTCACTTCCTCCCTTCCACACTGAGGAAACCAAATGTTACAGACAGTAAGTAACTGACGTGACTGAGGAACTGAGTCTGAGTTCAATGCCCTTCTTCTTTTCACTACCCTGTGCTGCGTCTTCACAGTACCTGAAAACATGGAACATATGAGATTTCTAAGCAAGTAAATGTGGAGAGAATACAGGGTCAAACAGAACTCTGAACTGACCTCTACTGTACAGAGCCATAGAACCCTTGAGCATTGGTACACTCCATAATATTTCTAAAAGCTTGATGAAACCCTCTGATTCTGTGAAAATCAGTCACATGCAAACCTTTGGTTTCTATAACAAGCTGCACTCATGGAAATTATCTTTAGGACATATGTATAAGCAAATATAACAGACCAGTGAATTAATTAAATTTCCCATAGTTGCTAATTTGTTTCTATTTGCATTGCTCAGTCTAGAGTCATTTATACTGCAAATTGTTATCTTTACTACTTATTTATTACTTACCATAAATTCCCACACTATGGGATGGGCTACACCTTTAGCAACTTGGCAATTCCTAACCACATCTGAGAATTTAATGTTTAGAAATCCTTTGTACAGCAACATGCTACCAACTACAGATCCTGCTTCTCAGCCAATTGGCCTCTGATCTTATTCCTTCCTGCCTTTGCTAATATTCCTCTTCACTTTGGACTTTAATAGGCAAATCAAGTAAATATTGTCCTAGATATATACTTTTAGTCTTTCATAGAAAAACCTCTCTCAGATTTTCATGGACCATTATTCTAGAAATTCTCTTTAATCTATTGCTTGTTCTATTTGTGTTCCATGGAACAGAGAGGGTAAAACAACCCAAGAATAAATTTTATTTCATTAGATTTTTTCCTCACATTTCAATTTCTGGATTTCTTCTCTAAGGGCATTCCTGAAATTTACTATGGAAAGCTCTTTCACATTATCTGAATGACTAATCAACTTAGCCATATGCTTTGCAATTTCAATGAAGGGGAAAAATGTAATTGGTTTCCAGGTTGCATTAAATCGTTTTCCTAACCTATCAGTGATAGCACCACAGTAAGCTGAGGAACCCACAAACAAGGGAAGGGTTTCTTCTGGGTGTAGGTTGATGTTTTCAATTGGACGAAATTTTATTAAACATAAAACATTGAGTTATAAGAAGGAAAAACACAAATTTGAGAAAAATCTGTATTGATTCACTTACTGAAACGACCACAACAGGATACAAAGTGGAAAGGTTACTCTCTTCCAGTATACTCAGTAACTTCTGGGTATCCTGAAAATCAGAGGTCATCACCTGAAAAAAAGAGAAGAAAATGAAATGTAAGAAGTTCTTAAATAATTTTAATATTGATTCAGGCAGAGATTTTATATAACATTCAAAATATTTAACAAGCCGAATTTTTAAACAATTTAAAGAATACCCATACTGTTAAATATATTAAAATTAGGACTATTCATTTAAATTCGATTTTCTACTATTATGTCTTATCATCTATTTTATGCCAAGTGTAAGACAGAAAATTGAAAATATCATCTAAAAAACAAACACCCACTTCTCATTATGAGAAGTAGCTTATTAGGAAGGGTTATTTCCCTATTTCAAAGATAAAAAACAAAATGTTTCCTACATATTTCATAATATAACTCCTCTATCACAATCATACATTCAAATATTTAAGAATCAAGATAAATTACTTTCCTTCCAAATTACATGTGTATATATCCTCCAGTGCATTCAATCATTTATGTTGATTACTTACATTTACACAAACAAAATTATAGCATTGCTCTGAGATGATTCGCTGAAGATCTGAACCAGCATGCTGCAGAGCACCAGATGTGATTTTCACATGCTAAAAAAAAAACATATGGGAAAAAACAATTGACAAACTAGACGGACCAAACGTGACCATAACATCTTCATTACGAAGGTGCACATAACTGCTATAGGAAAGACGCATAAACCCAAGACCCAAAAAAATAAATTCAGGCATTAATTTACCAAGTTACCAAGAAAAAAACATTTGAAATAGGCCACAAATGATGATTATTATTTATTATTTATTATTAAATAAGGATATAGGGAATTATCTTGGATTAGTAAATACACACACATACACACAGAGTGCGAGAAAAATGCATACACATTTTAAGAAAGGAAAAACTGGCACTAAAATTGGAATACTCAGTATACCCCAGTATCATTTGTTACCTTGCATATTGTATCTTTATATTTTGTATCTCAACATTGCAGACATCAAATTCAGACTTGAATATTATACTGTTAATAATTTTTTCCCTTTCTGGAACCCTGTATATGTGTGTGTTTTCAGGAACAGGCAAGCAGTCTGCTTTATCTTATAACAAAGAAGTATTGCTGAGGATGTTGAAAGACTAAAATGGAAAGGTTGCAAGGAAGGTTGTAGAAATCTGGAAGCATGTTAAAGACCACAGTTACAAAGAACAAACTTCACTAAACCTGTAAAGACTATAAGCCGGGAAAGCAGTAACAGATTATCACAACAATGTGAGTGTGAAAGAAACAAGACTTGCACTAGGGTAATGATAAAGGAGGATAAGAAAGACAAACTATCAAAGAACTTGTAACAAGAAGAAATAGTCCCAGGCTACATTTAAAACAATAGGACATGTATTATAGAAAAATTCTTAATGAAGATTTTCATTTCATATGGCTTAATAAACCAATTAACTTGCTTCAAGACTTTTCTATTATAATGTGAACAAAACCTTAAGAATTATCAGACAACAAATCAGGTATGGTATTTCTGCTATTATAATTCCATAGGAACTCACATTTCGGGGATTCTAGTGGCGTAACATTTAGGATGCATTACAATTTATAATTCTAAAATACAATGCTGTTCCTAAGTAAAACATCAAACTTTGTATCTTCTAAGAGTATTACGTGTTCAGCAGCTTAATTTTATATGATTTTGGCAATATATTGGAGAATGAGAAAGGCAAGTAAAGGTTTTAAGTCTTAGCGTTACTATAGAAATTTGCTGGCTCAGACATTATAAGAATTTCAGCTCAGTTTGATGTTCTTATTAAATACAAAGTTCAAAACATTTTTAAACAGCCAAAAAAAATCCTCCCATAGTCATCAACTACTTATTAATACTGCAACAAGAAAATTAACCAGCTTCCATTCTGCAACATTTAGTTTGATCAAGAACATCTTCTACACATTATAGGCAGACAGTTTTTGAAGAGTCTCTCATGTATCTGAACATTTTCAAAGTCATTAACAGCTAACTAGTTCCAGATTCTTTTCCAAGTATGTTTGCATAACAGACAGAGTTGCAAAGATAGATATGACTCTTCCTAGAGCAGACTTGTTTATTTTCCAGAAAATAAAGATGGAGACCTCTCCCTCCCTGGAAAAGGTTTTACATAACATTCCAGAGTAAGAAAGTTAATTTCTCTCTCCTAAAGGGAAGATGGGCTGATTTGCCTGTGTAAGACCAGAGTTTCCTACTGTCAAGGTTTTATTTATTTATTTATATTTCAAATTAATCTGAGGATACAAATGATTAGGTTACACTGTTTGCATTTGTTAGGTAAAGTTCGAGTTGTGATGAGACCCTCACCTAGAGGGTCTGCTGTATCCCCTTACGTTGTGCACAGTAGGTGAGAGCTTACCAAACATCCTCCCTCCTCCCCTCTTCCCTTTTCTTCCCCATCACCTGAATTTAATTGTTTTTTTTTTTTTTTGTCACATGGGGGTATAGTTTTTTATCTATCGGTTTCATATTAGTATTGCATATACTGGATACTTACTTTTCCATTCTTGTGATACTTCACTAAGAAGAATGTGCTTCAACTCCATTCAGGTAAATACAAAAAATGTAAAGTTTCATCCTTTTATGCCTGAATAGTCATAAACATACATCACAGTTGATTAACCCATTCATATGCTGATGGACTCTTGGGTTGATTCCAAGATTTGACAACTGTGAATTGACCTGAGAAGAATATTCTAGTGAAAATGTCTTTATGACAAAATTATTTTTTCTCCTGGGAGATATTTAGTAATGGGACTGTGAGACCAAATGGTAGGTTTACTTTTACATCTTTGGGGATCCCATTTCTCTCCAAAGAGACTATATTAGTTTGCAATCTCACAAGCAGTATAAAAATGTTCCCTTCTCTCCACATCCATGCCAGCATCTGCAGCTTTGTGACTTCATGATGTGAGCTAATCTCACTGAGATTAGGTAATATCTCAGGGCTTTGACTTGCATTTCCCTGATGTACAGGGATGATGAGCATTTTTTTATGTTTGTTGGCTATTCATCTGTCCTCTTCAGAGAAGGTTCTATTCAAATCTCTTGACTACCTCCAAATGGGATTGTTTGCTCTTCTTGATTAGTTTTGAGTTCTCTGTTGATTCTGGTCATCAGCCCGTTGTCAGATGTTTAAATATCTTCTCCCATTCTGAAGGTTATCTGTATGCTTTAGTTGTTGGACCCTTAGGGGAACAAATGCTTTTTGGTTTGATCATGTTCCATTCATTTATTTTTGGTATTGCTACAATTGCCAGGGAAGTCTTCTTCATAAATCTTTACCCAGGCAAATGTTGTTCAGAGTTTTTCCCCACATTTTCTTCAGAATTTTTATCTTTTATCCAATGAGAGCCAATTTTTGTAAGTGGTGAGAAGGGCAGCCCCAGCCTTCATCTTCTACATGTGGCTAACCAGTTCTCCTGGCACCATTTATTAAATGGCAATTCTTTTCCCCAGTGTATGCTTTTGTTTGGTTTACAAAAGATCAGACAGGGATATGTGGCTAGGTTCATCTCTAGGTTCCCTATTCTATTCCACAGAACTGCATCTCTATATTTGTGCCAGTACCATGCTGTTTTGATCACTGTCAACGTGTGGTATAACCCAAATAATATAATAATATTATATTGGTATAACCAATACTATGGATATGTGGTATAACCTGATAATGTAATGATTCCAAATATGTTTTTACTTCTTAGAATAGCATTGGCTATTTGGGGTTTTTCTCTGATTCCATATGAAACAAAGTACAATTTTTTCAAGTTCTTCAAAGTATGACATTTGTATATAGATGGGGATTATATTAAATCTATAGATCACTTTGGGTAGTATGGACACTGTAACAACATTAATTTTTCTCAGCCATGAGCATGGTATGCTCTTCCATTTGTTGTCTTCTGCTGTTTCTTTTCTCAGGGTTTGGCAGTTCTCTCTGTAAAGATCCTTCACATCCTTTGTTAGGTATTAGGTATATTCCCAGGTATTTCATTTTCTTTGAAGCTACTATGAAGGGTATTAAGTCTTTGATTTTATTCTCAGCTTGACTGTTATTAAAGTATATGAAGACTACTGATTTGTGGACATTAATTTTATATCCTGAGATGAAACTATATTTCCTGATCACTTATAAGGCCCTTGTGGTTGACTCTTTAGGTTTTCTAAGTATAAGATGATATTACAAGCAAAAAGTGAGAGTTTGACCTCCTCTGTCCCCATTTGAATATCCTTAATATCGTCTCTTGCCTGATTGCACTGGCTAGAACTTCCAGCATTATGTTGAATGGCAGTGGCCATATTGGACATCCTTATCTGGTTCCATTTCTAAGTGGAAATACTTTCAGTTTTACTCTATTCAGTATGATATTGGCTGTGGGTTTGCTGTAGATGGCCTCTATCACTTTAAGAAATGTCTCACCTATGCCTATTTCGTAAGTGGTCCTGTCAGAAAAGGATGCTGGAAAGTATTTTGTCTAATACTTTTTTCGTGTGTCTAATCAAAGGATCATATAGTCTTTGTTATTGCCTCTATTTATGTGGGGAATTACATTTATGCATTTATACAACTTGACCCATCCTTGCATCCCTGCAATAAAGCCCACCTGATCAGGATGTATAATTTTTTAATATGTAGCTATATTCTATTTGCTAGGATTTTATTGAATATGTTTGCATTGATATTAATATATGGATTATATTGGTCTATAGTTATCCCTTCTGTTGGGTCCTTTCCTTGTTTTGGTACCAGGGTGATGTTTGCTTCACAGAATGTATTGGGGAAGGTTTCTTCTTTCTTAATGTTTTGGAATAGGTTCTGTAGTATAGATATAAGCTCCTCTTTGCAGGTCTAGTAGAATTCTGGTGTGAAACCATTTGGTCCTAGGTTTTTCTTTTTTGAAACAGTTTGTATTGTTGTTGCAATTTCAGTGCTTGATATTAGTCTATTCAAAATTTCTAATTCTTTTGGGTTGAGCTTAGGGGGGTGGTGTAATTCCACATATTGGTCCGTTACCTCCATGTTTTCAAATTTCTGGGCATAGAGTTTTCTGTACTAATTAGTGATGATCTTTTGTATCTCAGTGATATCTGTTACTACTTCCCCTTTTTCATTTCAGATTGAGGTGATTAGACATTTTACTTTTCTGTTTCTAGTTAATCTGCCCAAGGGTTTGTCAATTTTTTAAAACTTTTTGAAGAACTTTTTGTTTAACTTATCTTTTGACTGGTTCTTATGTTCTCAATTTCATTTTATTCTGATTTAATTTCAGTTATTTTTTTTTTCCTGCTTCGTATGGGATTGGGTTACTCTTCCTTTTCCAGTTCCTTGAGATGGTTCATTAGGTTGTAGATATAAACTCCTTCTGTATTTGGATGTGGGCATTTAATGTGATAAATTTGCCTCTCAGAACTTCTTTTGTAGTATCCTACAAGTTTTGATAGCTTGTGGCTTCATTACCATTTTGTTCAATAAACCTAATGATTTCCTTCTTTATCTCCTCCTTGATCCACCTGTCATTCATCATAAAGTTGTTAAGTCTCCATGAATT